TCTCGCCATATTTTTGGAAATAAATAAGTTTTGAACTTATAAATATTATTTTTATCAAATTAAAATTTAGGTACTAATGATTATCGAACGAAATTTAGGCAGAGATTTGTGGCCTTTAATTGATTGGGTTGCTGGTACTTTTTTAAATTATTTTCCTTTAAATTATTTAAGCAATAAAATTAAAAATAATTTCTGTTTCTAGTCCTCATAAAAGAAAATTTCTAGCAAAAAAAAACAATTTTCTCTTTAATTTTTAAATTTAGGAACTAGTACAGGTTCAATTCTTGCTTGTGCTCTAGCCAAAGGTTTTTTCCAAAAAAATTTTTAATTTCAAAAAAAAATTATTTTTAAAGGCAAATCCATATCAGACTGCCAAAAACTTTATTTACAATTAAAGAATCAATTATTTAACGGAACTAGGCCTTATAATCCGGCAATTTTGGAAAGATTATTAATTCAATCAATTTCTTCTGATTTTTTGTCTTCAATTGAGAAGCCAAAGTTTTTTTTTGAAAATTTTTTAAAAATTATTTTTAATTAAAAAGGATGTTGATAACTGCAGCCAAAATGGATGTTGCCCCTCCAAATTTAGTTTTATTCAGAAATTATCAGTTGCCGGAGGAATTGTTGAAAGAACATAAATTTAATGAAGTAAAAATTTAATTTAATTTTTTTAATTTAAAAATTAATTAAAAATAGATGGGTCATGTAGATGAAAATACAACTATTTGGAAAGCAGCCAGATGTTCGAGGTAAAATAAAGAGAATGGGGAAGGAGGAGGGAATCCATTATTCCCCTGGCTGTGCCTGAAAACAACTCAATGTTTTTTTTCTAAATTCTTTGGTATTTTTATGTACTTTTTTGTCTTTTGATTTAGAAAATGTGAGGAATCAAAAAATTGCAATCTTCAACTCTTCCTCCTTCAAAACAACTCATGTCATGATTTTGAAGGGAAGAGGTTGATTCCAAGCACAGCCAGAGGAATAATGGATCCCCTCTTCTCCTCCTCCCCCTCCCTTCTTGTTCTATTCACATCGGGGAGAGGTTGATTTCAGGCATAGCCAGGAGAATAATGGATCCTCTCCCTTCCTGTTTTATTCAGAATTTTTTTAGGGGAAGTAGTTAATTTCAAGCACAGCTAGAGGAATAATGGAGGATTCCCTCCTCCTCCCCCTCCCTTCCTGTTTTATTCAGAATTTTTTAGGGAAGAGGTTGATTTTAGGCATAGCCAGGGGAATACCGGATTCCCTCCTCTTCCCCTCCCTTTCCTTTTTTATAATTTTCTCTTTAAATTTCTAGTGCTGCCCCAACATATTTTCCTCCATTTGACGATATTTATATTGATGGAGGTGTTATTTGTAATAATCCAACAATGGAATTACTTACAGAATTTACAAAACTTAAAAATTATTTTAATTTAAATTATCCATATTGTGTTATTTCAATTGGGACAGGAACTCCTCCAACAAAAAGTTTAACAATTTATAGGCCTTTAATTGGTAGAGTTATTCAAAAAGTGTCTAAAACGACAGAATTTATGAGAAATATGGCACAATGTCTTGTTAAACAGGTTTTTTAAACTTTTTGGCATTTTTTGTATTTTTTTTCTTGTGACCGATCCCGGGATGGGATCCCGAGGGATAAATCCCGAAAAAATCCTGGATCCCGAAAGATCCTGAAAATCGAAAAAATTCGGGATTTCGGGATCTCGGAAAATGCCATCGGGTTTCCGCCCGCGCCGACATCTATTTTGTATATCCCGCCTCCCTCTCTCCCCTCATTTGAATATTCAGAGGGAAATAAAGAAAAAAATTAGGAAAGATTATGTCCATATTAAGGAAAACTTTGACTGTGGCTCAAACTAGGGGGGGGGGATCCAAAAGGTGCCCAATTTTTGAATAAACTAACAAAAAAAATTTTTTTGAAAGATTACTGAATCAAATGGAAGGCCAGTTGTTTATAGCAATACATTCTGTTCAGCTTTAGGCATTCCTTTCTTTCGTTTTTCGCCTCAATTACACAAAGATGTGGTTAGAAAAATTTTTATTTTTAGTAAAGAAAATTTTCTTTTAATTAGCGTTTAAACGAAACTGATGATGCCTGTCTACTTCAAATGTTGTGGGATGTGGAAGTTGCTATGGCTGAATGTAGGGATGAAACGAATAAATTAGTAAAAATTCTTAGAGAACGATTGGAGTATTTATAAATTATTTTTGTGTTGTTTTAATGAATAATATTTCTGTTTTTCTGTTATCTCTTAACTTTAAATGCCACAAATTTAATTATGCAGAAATTAGGTGGGGGCTAACTCGAGGAATTCCAAATCGCGGAATGACCAAAACAAAAATATTTTAAAAATAAGAATATTTCTATAAATCTGAATTTTCCATAAGTTCTTTTTTAAATTCTGTTTTTTAAAATATTCTAATTTTACAAAAAATTCCGGTTTTTTTTATTTTTTTACTGCAAATTAGACTAATCAGCTTCTCAGATCTTTATATATTTTCCTCTTTTTATTTTCTTTTGAGAGAAGATAATGTGTCTTTAAAGCAGTTGGGTTGCTTAAAGTTCTAATAAGTAAATATTAAGCACTTTAATATCCTCTAGCTTGAATTAGCTATGTGCTAAAACTAGAATTGAACGTTTATTATCAGCTAATTAAAACATTTTTTAGTAAAAATATCCTCCAAAAAACCTCTATTATGACAAGCCTCAGCAAGATGTTTTGCATCATCATAACAAAAATGTGCCAATTTGTTTCCGATAAATCCTTTTAAGATTAAATTTTTTTCTAAAAAATACCTCTATAAATTTTGAGCCACAATCCATTCGTCTAATTTATCCTTTAAATTTTCTTAATAACAAAAATAGCAAAGATTGTAACTATTTTAAAATTGCTTTCAAAAATTTGTATTTCCTTAAAATAATGGGCAAATTTGGTACAAATGTGCATTGATACAAAAGATAATTACAGAAAATTTAATAAAACGAAAAAATAACGAAAAAAAGCATTAACAGAATAATTTAATTTTGCTAAAAGTATTCAAAAAATTACAGAAATTAACTCAGCATCTCTAAAATACTTTCAAAAGAATTCTTAAATCCCTAAACAATCAATTTCTATCAAGCAAACTCTTAATTTTAATTTCGTCAAACAAATCCAATTACAAAAAATATATTTTTTATTTAGAACAAACAAATACTCCTAACAGTAATTACTCGAAAAAAAGAAAGACAAGAAAATACAAAATACATTATTACAACAGGATTTTATTACAATAAATGGTGTTATTCTTTTTAGATTATCGTTTATGAATATACCGTATTTCCTAAAATAGTACTCCCCCCTGAATTAGTACTCCCCCCTTAAATAATACTCCCCTTTGGAGGAGGGTTGAAAAATAGTACTCCCCCCTTAAATAGTACTCCCCCTAAAATAGTACTCCCCCCTAAAATATTTTTCCCCTATATTTGAAAAAAATCATAAAAGAAACATTGAATTATTCTATTGAGATTTACTTATTGAATTATTTTATTTATTCTGATTAGGGTTGTCGGTTTCACTTGATTCTTCGATAACCGAAACCGGACAGTTTTCGCTTACCGAAAACGAACTGAAATTTTAACCTATAATATGTTCTGGATTGATCAAGTGGGGTCTAAAAGTTCCAATTCCCCTAGTTCATCTCTAACTAGATCAAGTAGTATGGTTTGATAAAGGAATTTGAGAGAAAAATGAAGGATGAGTGTTCGGGACGCACTCATTCCCGAGCGTTCGGGACGAAACCCTACTTGTTATCACGCCTAAATATGGATATCCTAGAATTCGTAAGGATATTCGAAGAAAAAGAGATGTGGAGGATAACGGTGATTAATGCTGATAAATCCCTGGACACAGCGATTAGGTACATCAATTTCTCAGTGACATTGAATAATATCGGCGGATATATGCGGATTCGTAAGATTATGAGTCTGAAAAGATTAAGGGGGATATCAGTGTTTTTGAAGGATATCTAGGGAATTTGACACATACAAGTGTATTAACTGGTCGGGAGTTCAAGATGGATATAGTGGTAAATTTAGATATCTACCCTTAATCGATTAAATCCCATTATACTCCTCAATATCACTCCAAATTAACTAATATCCTTCTTGATTTTCCTCAATACCCCTTATTTTATGTCACTTGTGTTTAAATGTCCCGAAATTTGCTCAATTTTATAATAATTTGAATATTTTTTGAGAGCTTTTAATAATTAAATTTTTTGAAAATCCGGGTCGGATCAGGCATTTTTCAGATAACGAACTCAAATTGATTTAGAATTTTGAAATAAATTTTCTTATGATAAATGAAAAAAGGGTTGAAAAATAGTACTCCCCCCTGAATTAGTACTCCCCCCTTAAATAGTACTCCCCTTTGGAGGAGGGTTGAAAAATAGTACTCCCGGGAGTACTATTTTAGGAAATACGGTACTTCCTTCATTTATCAGCTTCTATTGCCGTTGGGATATCGTCATTATTCGCAGGCAATTCAGGCACCTCAGTTCCGGCTGGATTAGCAACCAAAGCAGGACTATTACTGCTAGCCAATGAGTTTTGTTCACTGAAACGATAAATGCATTTTAAAAATTGTGTGTTAATAATTAGATTCTCTCACCTTGGAGCAACCCCAGCGGTTGAGACATCATCCCACTCGAGGGCGCTGACTGTCCTTGTCACAGCTGCAGTACTTTGCTCGTCTCCAGTCGGTGGCGGCGAACGAACACGAGCCGAACGTGTGGAAATCACTGACTCTGGGACAGAAAGTCTACTTTGACTTCGCATAGCTTCGGGCAATTGATTAACCTCATAAGGATCCAACTGAAAATTTTTATTCAAATTTACTCAAAAAAGATTTTTATCCTACCTCCTGATCTCTGGTAGCGTCTTCTCGAGTTCCACTCAGTTCTGTATGGGTACTGCCAGAATCCGTCCTTGAAGTGGTTTGCACAGTCGGTCGTCATTTTGGCTTTGTTCGTTGAGAGAGTAGGTTGGGCTCGCTGGGCGCAATTGTTGCAATACGTAACGTGGTGATCGGGACAGTAATCAGATCTAAAATTTAAACAAATGTTTTAATTTTAGTCAAAAATAACTACCATATCCGGGGAAATGCTGAACTTCATCATCCTCCTCCTCCATTTGAACAGTTCTGTCAGATGAGGTTTCTGGTGTTTGATTGGTATCACTGTCACTAGTCAATGACGATGATCTTGCCGCCTCCGCCTCCGTTGCCGCCTCTCTGCTCTCTTCACTGCTGCTACTATCTGGAGCAGGATTCACATCTCGTTCCGCCTCCCCAAGTCGTTCCCGCTCAGCTTCTGCTCGCCGCTCCCGTTCAACGATTTGATCATTACTCCGTAGAAGTCCGAAACGCTAAATTTGTAAAAAGATTTTTAGAGAAGTTTAAAAAATACGCAAACACACCTGTGCAAGGCCGTGAAGTAAATGAGATAAGACCACCATGGACGAAGATGGCTGAGCACGTTGAGCAATGTTGAATTGAAGACACAAGCAGCAAAAGCAGAAAGTAAGTTGAATGGGCGAGTAATCTGGTACGTATATTAGGTTGCTTTTATAGTAAAGGGAAAAGGTCGATTCAGAGTAGCCGATTCAGAGTTGGGACTATTCAGAGTAGCCGATTCAGAGTACGGCTAAAAGGGGACGATTCAGAGTACATAGATTTTCGGACATAAGAAATCAGCTTTTCTTGCGAATTTTCTAGTTTTTCTTAATTCCTACGATCTGATTTTAAAAGCTAGCCGAGTCTTGACTTTAGGCTTTTCCTAGGCTTTTTCGGCCTTAGGGTAAAGCTCTAGCCTCAACTTTTTTTTCAGGGAACAAAATTCTAATAAAAAATGCGTCAAATGCACAAAAATTTATCAAAAAATACATAAATAAAAGTTATTGTCATCATTTTACTTATTAAATTTGTGGCCCTAAAGAGGGCCGTTTGAGTTGAGGCTGTGGTTGACGAAATTCCAAGATCGCTTCTATTCCATCCAGGACTGCAATTCAAAGGTTGCCAAGCAGAATCACCTCAGCAGCATATCACTCAACAGCAAACCGCCCGAGCACGTCGTTGTTACCGCTAGAAAAATGAATTTAAATTGAAAAATTTTTTAAAGAAATTCTTCCAAGAATTTTTCCAAGAATCTCGATTTTTAAGTTATTTTATTCTACGTACTCTGAATCGTCCCCTTTACCACGTACTCTGAATCGGCGACACTGAATCGTCCCCTACCTTATAGTAACTCGTTACAAGACGGTTAGAGTCCCGTTTAGCCTGCCATAGTTATTCGCCGCGAACCGACAAAGAAGTCGATTTGCATTACTAGTCCCTCATGTCTGTTTCAAAATTTTATAAATTTACTTAATTTTTAGATTAGTTAGCTTTAATTAATGCTTTCCTTTTCATCTCTTCACCACACGAATATTTTTTTGAAAAATTTAAAGTCAATTACTTGTAAAGTATTTCTGTTTAATCGTCCATTCTGTATTTCTTGTAAACATTTAGCCAGTAAATCTGGCGATAAAATACCTGAGGACGAAATAAAAATAGATTTAAAAGAAATTAGTAGAAAAGTAGCTAAAGAATTTGAATATGCCAAAGAAGGGAAAGAAACTGAATTGGACAAAAATTTTATGAATTTTAGTGTTCAGGCGACGGTTTGTTTTTTAGAAATTAAAATAAAAAATTAATTTGAAATTTTTAGAAACAACAATATGAAGGCCCTTTTCGTTTAATATTTTCGTGGAAATATGTTGGAGTTATTTTTACTTTACTTGGTTCTTTGCTGGTTGTTTTGTACTTTATTTGGCAGAAGGTTTTTGTTTGTTTTTAAAAAGAAATTTTGAAATTTTTTTAGAAAGTTGATGAGAGGGAAAGAAGCCGTAAAATGATGATTGGACGTGCAAGGATTGGTGGTGAATGGGAATTGACTAATATGGAAGGAAAATTGGAAGGAAGTAAAGATTTACTTGGAAAATGGCTACTTATTTATTTTGGCTTTACAAATTGCCCTGACAGTTTGTTTTTAATTTTTTCTTATTAAATTCTCTTTTGATAGTTTGTCCCGTTGAAATTGAGAAATTAGTTGATGTTATTGATATTCTTGATAGAGAAGACGCAAAAGTCGATATTCTTCCAATATTTATTTCTGTCGATCCAGAACGTGATACAATTGAACGTGTTCGTCGTTATTGTGCTGAATTTTCCCCAAAACTCCGAGGGTATACAGGAACTAAAGAACAGGTTTTTATATTTTTAAAATGTAAATGAACTTATTCATAACCTCATTTTTTGGGATGTTTTATTACAAAAATAATTTTTATTAGTGAGCGGAACCGGACCGGTCCAACCAGATTTTTCCGGAGTCAGGATCCCAAATCAGGGGTTTTTTTTTGCGATCTCCAGATTTTTTCCGGACCGGATTAATCCGGAAAAATCCGGCCGGATCCGTTTCGGCTCAAGTTGCAAATCCGGTTCCGGAATAATCTATTTTCCCGTTTACTAATTTTTATTAATTTTTTCTTTAAATTGTTAATTTTTTGAAATCTTAATAGAACACAATCTTTTCCAATAATATTTTTGATTTATCTTAAATAGCTGATTTTGAAATATTTAGGTTGGCAAAGTGGCAAAAGCTTTTCGCATTTATCATAGTGAAGGTCCTCGCACTAAAGGGTTAAAGAAAACAGATCCTGATGATTATATTGTAGACCACACAGTTATTTGGTTTGTTTATTTTTTTGAATGAAATTTTAAATTAAATATTTTTTAGTTATTTAATTGACCCAGATGGCCAATTCCACGATTATTATGGCCAAAATCGAAGAGCCCGTGAAATTGCACAAGTTATTAAAATGAAAGCACTTCAATGGGATATGAAACATGGAAAATCTGGCAAATCTTGGATTGATAAATTATCTTCTATGATTTCGAATGACACGAAGGAGGTTGATCAAAAAACGACAAATTTGGAGAATTCCAAACAAAATACAACTGTTGCTGTTGCATAGATTTTTTGTTGATTTTATTATTTTAAATAAATTATTTGATTAGTAGAAATGTTTTTTTATTTGAAATGTTTTATACATTAAATATTTGTTTTTCTTTTTACAAATCTAACAGAAATTTAGTTATTTCAGGCTCTGATTTTAAAGTCTATAAATGACTTCAAAAACAGCAAATTCGTCAAATGCCCACAATCAACAAAAGAAGGAATTTCAAGTTCGGATACCAAAGTAATTTTTTATTTGAATATTTAATGAAATATTTGTTTATAGAACTGCAAATAAACGGTTAACAATACTAAAATTCAACGAAAGTTTAAATGTTCGACCGCAACGTTGGGTAATGGAAACACTTAGAATGGAAAGAGAGGATAATAGAAGAGCTGGGGTTGGTTTATTTTTTTGAAATTTTGGGTTAAAACTACTCCCACAGAGGATCCGCGTTGAGTGTCAAGTAGTGTTCGGCAATTGGATTTTTTCGGTACTGGTACCGGGAGTACCGAAAAGTCCCGATACCGAATTGGTACCGAAATTTCCAAAATTTGTTCGGGACGGTTCCGGTACCGGGAGTACCGAAAATTCCCGATACCGAAAAGTACCGAAATTTCCCAAACTCTGTTCGGGACGGTCCAGGTTCCGGGAGTACCGAAAATTCCTGACTCGGTATTTTCGGGAGTACCGAACCGTGCCGAACACTAGTGTCAAGTGCTTTGTTCCGTGCATTTTTAATTGAATGTAGAATAGGAGGAACATGTACCACTTGACACGGACGCGCGCAAGGATGGACGCTTGACACTCGACAAAGCACTCAACAAAACACTCGACACGGATTTCTATGTGTGAGCACTATTAAACTCAAAATCTTTTAGGTAACCACTTCTGGTAGTTTTGTACAAGAATTTGGTGAAGGGAGCGAATATGGTAAGGCTGCTCGTGAAGAGGCACGACTTAAGAAATTTGGACGACAGACTCGCAAATATGAACATGATAAACAACCTTGGCGTTTAACTATTGAACAAAACGTTTCTGGCGATGCTGACTCAAAGCAGGCTACAAAAGTTCGCAAATTTCGTTCAATGCGAGAAGCTGGGGCAAGTGAACATGCGGATTATTGGATTTTCTATAAGGTTTAAATTATTTAAGAAGAATTGTTTTTTATTTTAGTTTTCTTAGTCTGGTAACGATTTAGAAGCATACAAAGTTGACGAATGGTATCAATTTTTGCCTGCTGTAACATATAAATATTTGGACGCCGAACAAGCAGAGGAACGATTTAAAGAACGTGACAATGTTCTCAATCATTTTGCTTTGAAAGCACAAATCCAAAAACAATTGGCTGAACAGGAGGATCAATTACAACAGCAACAACGTCAAAAAATTGGTGATACTTTGAAACGGGCTGGTGGTTTGGTAATGGATTCCTTTGTTTTGTGGATTAAAATTCTGACAATATTTTAGAAAATCAAAGACGAGGCTAGCTCTGATGAAGACGAAGATGGTGATATTGACGAAGAGGAACAAAATGGAAAGTCCAAAAATGGAAGTAAAAAGAAAAAGGATGGAAAGAAGGGAAAGAAAGTTAAAAATGAAAAGGAGGAAAAGAATAAAACTAAAAAACAACGTGTAAAAGCTGCTGACGAAATTGCAGGTTTTTTAGAAAAATATTGTTTTTATGTTTATTTTTTTCCAAGATTATGAGTCTGAAGACGGACAAGATGAGGGGCGTGAATATGATTATATGTCGGATTCTGGAAGCGATTCTGAGTTTGTATTTTTTTAATTTTCTAGTGTAATTTTTGGGATCATGTTAAAAATGCATCTGAAAGCCTTAAATGATCAAATGCTCAACTTGGCATTTCTCTTAATTAGCTATTTGTTTCTCATTTTCAGGCGAGAAGAATTAAATGTAGATCAGAAAATGGAAGATGATTTAGTTGGCGTAGCTGATGAACAAGGGCTAAAACATGATCTTGACTCTGAAGAAGATGATGACGATTTTGAAGATGAAGATGATGACGAAGAAGAGGAGGAGAAAAAAGACCAAGAAGAAGGGAAGAAGAATGGTGTGAAGGAACAAAATGAAACTGGTTAATTTTGAATTTATTTTTATCCAATAATTATTTTTTTAGCTGATTCGCGTGCTAAAGCGGTCAAAAATGTTGACAAAATGATGGAACAAAATACTGGTGCTAAAATTAAAGCTGACTTTGACAATGCTGAAGGTTGAATTTTTCAAAATATATTTTTCATATTTTCCTTTTTTTTGTTAGAATCTGATGATTCTGATTTTGATGAAGATCCTGACAGTGCAAGAGTTAATTCTGTTCTTTTTATGCAAGATAAGGTTTATTTTTCTTTAAATTTTAAAATTTTATGCATCATTTTTACAGCGTAAGACTGCTTCATCAACTCAACAAAGGAAAAGACAAGAGCCTGGCGGAGCTAGTGAAATGCAACAATCATCTTCTTTTTCTGAGCAACCAGAGGTTAAACGGGCTAAAATCGCTAGGTAATTTGATTTTTAAACTTATTTTTCATATTCGTTAAATTGAAGTGATGAACCTGAATCTGAAGTAATTACTGAATCTTTTATTCGAAAACTACTTGAAAAGAGACCTCACAGCACAAAACAGGTTTTTATTTAAAAATTTTAAAAATTATTTTGACGTTTCCGAGAGGGTGTTTGGCCCTGCAAGCGTTCCCCTTCTTTTTCCTGTTTGCCCCTACTTTTTTTAAATTAAATTCTAACTAGAATTTCCTTTGTTTTTTAAAGATAATTTTTTAAATTTATACCTTTTAAAAAATTTATTTTGCAGCTTTTAACCAAAGTTAATCAACGATTTCAACAACAACATAAACAAGATGATAACCAAACACCACCTGTTAAAGACAAGAAAATTGTGGCTCAATTGGCAGAAATTTTGAAGAAGATTGAGCCATATCAATTTCGTAAAAAGAATGAAGCCGGCAAAGATGTTCTTTATTTTTCAATGAATCGAACAGCATAAAAGAGAGGGTTTGAATATTTTTAATTATATTTTATTGTAATAAAATAATTAAATTTGTTAGAAAATTTAAATTGAAATTTTTTAAACTTACAATTAGCAAATTAAATTTAGTATCCTTTAATTTCAGTTTTGAATTTTACCGATTAGATTCTACAAAAGACAATAGTACTCATTTTTCTTACCTCAAAGTATTAAAAATGGTCAGAATTTTCTTTTTTTCTCAGCCACAAAGGATAAAGATTTGATTCATTGCTTGATAAATAAAAGTAAAGTACTGGATAAATAACCTTATCTGTTACATCGTTCGTTGTACATCGCCAATTTCCATAACGTCTATCTTGAATTTGCTCCACGTTTATAACATGTTCATTTTCTTTGAAGTATCCAGGCTCTGCAAGCCATACAAGTTGGGAAAGAAAGCAAAGTCTGACCATTTTTAAGGAAAGAAAAAGGAAAAAAAGGAGGAAAGGGAAAGGAGCCCCCCCCCCCCCCCCCCACCCTTCTATGAAGGTTTAAAAATGTTAAAATTAAAATTTTAGTTTTTTAAATTTTTTTTAAAAATCTGTTTTTAAGGTTTCCTTTTTTCAAAATTTTTCCTATGATGTGAAAACTTTCCACTAAACTCTACATTCTATGTGAGCTAATTTTTAAATTCTCTCTTCGTCAATATTCCTACTTCTAATTCTTTAAAATTTAAAATATCCTCAACAGATTTTCTTCATCATGTTTTTAATATAGTAAATATAATCCTTTGTGGGCTGTACTTTAGCCGGTGGCCCACTCAGAAACAGGTCAAATTATATACCATTCGATTCGTCTCTGCGGACTGAGTCGAATGGTACCACTCTTTTTTTGCGGAAATTCCTACGAGCCGAGATATAGGTCCTTGAAAACCGAAAAACCAAAGGGGGGACCAAGCACTTTTTTGGGGCGAAAAATTCGAATATGCAAATAATATCTCATTCGAAAGAGCTCGTCGAGTTGAGTCGAATGACACCAAAATCAACGAAATCCGACTTGATTTGACAAAGTTATGATCTTTTATTTTAGCTCCTTACCTATGGCATCTGTGGAGATTTTTGCTGCTACGGAGGCCGCAAATACGTCCAGAGCAAGGGAGATAGGAATAGGTTTATGTTACGAGCCCAGACCCAGCGCCCGTAGACTCCCCGCGAGGCGCGTGCCGCAAAACCCCGCGCGAAGCGCGGGGTTTTGCACAAGCGCCTCGCCGACGCCCCATAGGTTTATGTTGCTTGTTTTTTGTGTTGTAACTTTGTTTAAACTTGTTCAATCCCGGTAATTTTGGTGTCTTTCGACTCAGCTTTTCGAGCTCTTTCGAATGAACTATAATATGGTTAAAAAATTTTAATTTCAAAAATCACCCCTATGGATTACCATTTTTCAGGGGCCTATATCTCGGTCCAATCAAGTCGGATTTCGTTGATTTTGGTGTCATTCGACTCAGCTCGAAGAGCTCTTTCGAATGAGCTATTATTTGCATATTCGAATTTTTCGCCCCAATAAAGTGCTTGGTCCCCCCTATGGTTTTTCGGTTTTTAATGACCTATATCTCGGCTCGTAGGAATTTCCGCAAAAAAAGAGTGGTACCATTCGACTCAGCTCGCCGAGACGAATCGAATGGTATATAATTTGACCTGTTTCTGAGTGGGCCACCGGCTAAAGTATATCCTCCTTTGTGTTAATCACTCTCTATAAGCATTAAAATCCAAAACAAGCAGTTAAATAAAAACATAAAAAATAAGCGACAGTCGGTGAAAAGGATTTTTCACTTTTTTTTGTTTTGTCCCTTCCGCATTCATCTCTCGCAGCTATGGGTGGTCTGCATTTCCTCGTCCTTATTTTTCCAAACAATAACACATCAACATGTGTGGTGTTTGTGCTTTGGTGGTGGACTTTATTTTGTAGTAAAGGTGTGATTTTCACACTAAATACATATCAGACTAGTTGGATTATTTGAGGGATTAGTAAATAATTCTGCAAATAAAATATTTTTGTAGATTTTATTTTTATTTGACTTTTTAATTTTATTATTTTAATATTAGGAATTGGTGTGATTTTTATTTAACGACTAGGAAATACGCAGGTTATATGTATTTAGTAGTCGAGTTAGGTAAAGTAGAGTTAGGTAAGTCCCGGATATCCAGTCCTTGAATACCTGGATATCCAGAGTGTCAGTCGGTGAAAAGTATTTCTTACTTCTAATAATTCTGGACACGGGTAATGTCTAGATATCCGCGGATGCAGATGGATATGGATAATGTTGTCTTCAAAATCGGACAGATACGGATTTCAAAACTATTGTCTAAGTCTGCTTAGAATAATTCTATAAAGCCTCATTTAATCTCTTTGGCCTTAAAAATTTTTCCTAAAAACTTTCAATTCAAACATTTAAAACTAAAATTTACTTCCAAATCCTTCATTAAAGAATTTAATTTAAAAAAAGTCAGAACGGCACAGGACCACACACATAAATCTTTTTCTTACAACCCATTAATTCAAGTCCATGCATTCACACGTTAATTCCTTTTCATTTATTCCCCTCTTTTTTCTTTACAATTTACTTTGTCCAGTTATAAATATATTTTGACTGTCCATCTGTCGTTTTGTTGCTGGGTGGTCCTCCCCTCCCTTATTTTTCTTCACAACATCCTCAGGTCCAACAGGCCTCATATTTTTTTTCTAAATGATTGAAAAAAATCGTACTATAAACAACTTTTTTTATCTTTTGCCCACATATTTCGTGTGTGGCCTTTGCCTGGATTAAGACAAAAAAACATGAAGGGAGGGGCGTAGTTGCCCTCTTAGAGACGTGAACCAGAAGGGGAGAGAGGGATGTTTTGCCTTTCCTTTTAGCTTCCGCTCCCGCCCTATTCTTGGACTAATATAAAAAGATTATATATAAAAGTGCAAAGCTGGCATTCTGATATTTTTAGAGGAACGGCAGAAAAGGTGAGAAACGGCTGGCGCCTTTCCAATCCCGTGCCTAAAGTTATGGCCAAACTTACGTTCTTTTTTCCCTTCTCCCTCTCGTTGTCTTGATGGTCTCTTAAATTTTACTTGTTCTCTCGCCTACCCCTTTCCCTTCTATTTTCACGCATTCCTTACCTTTCCGTTCCCGCCCTTTCTCGCACTTGCACTTTTCTGCTTCTGACTAAACTATAAGCAAAACAAAAACAACGCATGATGGTATAAAATAAAGAGGGAAAGATTTTGAAGGGAAGGAAGGACCACCCAAACAGTTGGCAGCATTAACACGCGTCCCTCATTGAATTCAGCCTCCAGTCACAACATTAAAAAACATTTATTGTTATAAATAGGAGGGGGAATAAAGAAGACCTTCCTCCCCCCTTTTTTGCGAGGTTGTGAAAACGAACAATAAAAGAAGAAAAGATTAAAAACAATTTTTCTAGACAATTTGTGGCTTCTCGTTTCCCGCAGAGAGTGGGTGGGTGGTAAAAATTAAAAAAAGAAAATAATTGTTAGTAAGTTGGACCTCACGGACAGTCAGTCTAAAATAATAAACAATAAATAAATACCCGCGCATTTATTTGTATTTTTATTTGAGTATAAAGAAGAGGTTTTATTTATTTTCACACCTCCATTAAAAATATTTATTTCTCTCAAATTCAAATATTGCTGGTTCACAAATATTATTTTACAAATTTGATAGTTTTCTTTCAAAATTATAAAATTTTTGATTCAAAGATAGAACAAAATGCTTTATTAGGTATTTGTTAGAACTCGTTCATGAATACTTGGACCTCATGGACCGTCTAAAATAACCTTCCCCCTACTTCATTTAGTATTTTCCCTAATTTTAAAAATTGGGAGAAGTCTCGCTATAATATCCGAGGAGTTTACATAAGTGAGAACTGTAAAAAATTCTTAGAGCTTTAAAAAAGCTTAATAAAGTTTATAATAATAACTTTAACCTTGCTTAATTTTATCACATAGTTAATACAATAATTAATGATAACCTAATAATACTAAATTAACACTAACTCAAAAATAATTCCAAAATTAAACTCATTTTCGGATTAGCCAATCCAAAATTTATTTTTACTTAACAGATAATCCCCCCAACCTAAAAAAAAGTTGTCTAGACTCTAATTTTAATTTACTATTTTGCCGTCAGCCATCAAAACACCCTCAATTATATTTTTTTTTCTATTTTTTTCTTCGCCTTCGGCGAAGAAAAAAATAAAAGACCACACAAATATTTACAGGCCTTTTCTCTCCATTTCAGCTCTTTAACCCCCCCCCCCCCTTTTCTACTAAAAAATAAAAAGACAGACCACCCACTAAAATTTGTGTTCTGTGCCTTTAAAGAATTGGCAAAAACAACAAAAACACAAAATTAATTACGTCAACTTTGAAAAAAATTTTTTTTAATTTTTATTTTCGTCATTTTGTCTTGTGCTTGAAATAATAAATTGAGGAAGAAAAATTTGTTTGTTTTGAATGAATAGGGGAAAAAGAGAAAAGTACAGAAAACAGGTGGAGAGAAAGTAGTGTTTTTGTTGTTTTTGATTATTGCACTTTTAATTTTGAAATTAAAAAAAAGTGGAATTGCTTTGCTTTTTTTTATTAAAATTTTATTTTAATTTCAAATAATTTTTTAATTCCATAAATGCTCGAATATTTACTCTGAGTAGTTCTAATTTGCTATTACTCCCCTCAATCAAGTGATAGTTTTTTAATTCCACTTGATTGAGGGAGGTAATCGGGGTAACCCCTTCCAAATCACCAAATCAGAAGAGGCATAAGGAGGAAGGGGGAGGACGAAGAATGGGACGAAAAAAGGAGCATTGAAAAGGTAAAAAGGAGCATAAGAAATTCCCCTAAAAAAGTAAAATGGTCAAATAGGGAGAAGGTTATTTGAGCATTACTAAATTTTCAGAAATAATTTTAACTCAAAAAGAAAAATATTAAAAGAATAAATGAACATTAACAGCAACAATAATCCAATATCATTTCCTTCCTCAAATCAACTTTTACCTCCTTTTCAAGGATTAATTAATCAAACAATTTCTGGAGCAGATTCTGTTCAATCCCCTCCTTTTGTTTTAATGGATATGAGAAATTTTTTGTTGTTATATCATCAACAACAAACATTACAACAAATAATTACACAAAATAATAATATTGTGTAAGTTTTTATTTAAAGTCGAACCTTCGTGATGAGATTCGACCTTAAATTGTGTGTGTATCACTAAACTGGGAACATCGCTAAGCCCAACACTTAAATTTAATTTGAGAATAACTAAAAATTATTACAGTATTTAATTAAGTCCCCAAGTTTTTTCCAAACTTTTCAGGAGTATGATACAATACCTCTTTAAATAGAAAATATAGCAAGTATGTATATGTATGTCAATAATCCAAAATTTACTTCTGAATCATCTCCATATAATTCCTGAATCCTGTAAAAATCCTGATTAGGGCCATCACTGATATTTATTTATCTATTACATTCTTTACTAGTATAAATCCTCAATATTTTCTAAATTCAATATTTAGTCAAAATAATTATCTTCCACCACCCCCCTCACAACAACAACAAATAATTAATAATAAACAAACAGAAATATACCAGCAAATTAACACTACCAATTACCCTTCAACCGGAAAACAACAAGAACAACAATGTGAAATAAAAATAGAAGAACAGCCCCAACAATTAATTAAAAATAATATTAAATTTAATAATTCTCAATTTGTTGAGCCTATGCAACGTGGTAGAACTTGTTCTGGTAAGAAAATTAAATTTTACTCTGGTTATGAAGGAAATTACCATCGTGTGCCCTTATGTCCAGTAAAGGTGTTCTCTTTAATTTCCAATTTCCAACTATTCCAACCCTCTTGTTTTTGTCTGGGCCTTACTTTTGTGTTATTATAACCATTGCCAACTTTTTTAAAAATCAAATTTTTTTACTCAGAACCAAATCCAAATTCTGGCATTCAACCACTTTCTACATTATTAAATAATTCCTCTTCAATAAACAAATTATCGCCATCTTCAACATATTTATCTCAACCTTCTCCTTCTTTTGTTTCTTCTACTTCCCCTTCATCTTCTTTAAATTCGGATTCAATAATTTTACAATGTGAATGGTTGGGGTGTTCTAAACGAATTTTTGGTAGACAAAATTTTCTTGGGCATATTCAAGTAAATTTTAATTTTTTTTAATGAAGAGGGGGTTTAAAAAAGTTTTTGTAGTGCTAATTTTCTTCACTGGGAATTTGAGGAGTGATTCGGAGGGGATTATTATTAAAATAAAAAGAGAGCCCATTCTCCTTTGTTTTCCTCGATTGAATATACGTTCGAATTTCGATAACATGTCTCATTTGAGACGATTGTGCAAGCATTGATTAGGGGAGATTTATTAAAGGAAGGTTCTATCAACTAATATTTAGATTGAACATTTAATGCCTTCACATTTGGGTAATGACAATAATGGAAATAACACTCCTATTTGTCATTGGCGTGACTGTCCACGTGGAGGGAGGCCGTTTGGAGCACTTTACATGTTACAACAACATTTGAGAGCACATACTGGAGAAAAAGTTTTTTCTGAATAAAATTTTATTGAAAAAAATTTTTTCCTAGCCTTATGAATGTGTTTGGCAAAATTGTGGGAAGCGTTATTCTAGACTTGAAAATCTAAAAACTCATGTAAGAAAACATACAGGAGAACGTCCTTACAGATGTACTTCTTGTGATTCTGCATTTACTAATGCATCTGATCGTAAATACTTATATTTTTTAAATATAGATATCCATTAGGAGTTAATATCAGTGTTGAGAAGTTCGTACTAAAAGTCGTACACGTACTTGTGTACAAAATACGAGGCCAGGAATAGGGGTGTTACGAGGTGTTAGGGGTGTTAAAAAACAAATAGTTAATAATCAGTTATCTCCTACAGTATCTATTTACTTTGGGTACTTCCAATTTATGATCCATGGTGCTCATTCTCCCCCTATAATATCATCGCAAAAATTAAATCCTTTCTTATTTTTTAATATCCTGATTCCGTAATCAGCACTAATTGTAAGAGAAAGAAATTAAAAAATTTTTATTTTTACAAATAATTTTTTAAAGGTTCTAAGCATGTAGAACGTGTTCATGGGGGAAAGGTTTTTTTCCTTTTAAAAATTTTTTTAATCCGGAAAAACTTGTTTAAGAAACGTTATCGTTGTGCAGACTGTCAATGTGCATATACAGATCCCTCTTCTTTACGTAAACATATACTTAGCGCTCATGGACAAATGGAATGGATTGCTTATAAAAATAAAAGACAAAATGAAAGACAACAACAGAATAATTTTTTAATTAATTAAAAATTATATATTTTTTAATTCTTGCCCTCCAAAAATAATAAAAAAAAAGTAATATTTTAAAATTAAATAATCTCTTTTAATTTGTTAAAATTTAATTCATTAGGATACTAATTAATTTTTTGTTTAAATAAAATTTTTAAAAATTAAAAAAAAATATTAAAAAAATCTCCACTTAAGAAAAAATATTTTAATAGAAATTAGTACTTTTCCTTATTCATTCGAAATTCGAAAATTTATCCACAAATCTATAATTTTACTTTTCTCAGAAACAAAAAGTAATTTTATTTTAGAGACATAAAAAACATTTTCGGTTTTGGTTGGGTTGTATCCGCACTCTTCTTTCTGTTGATATTAAGATGAGATGAGAAAATGATTCTTGGGAAGATAAGTCTTTGGGGAGATAAGTTAGCAGAATAGAAATTTTTGAATAAAATGAGCTAGAGGTTGGAATCCTGTCTAAATAATTAAAAGAAGAGATATAGGTGTTGGTATTAAGATGGGATGAAAAAATGATTCCTGGGAAGATAAGTCTTTAGGGAGATAAGTTTGCCGAATAAAGATTTTTTAATTAAATGGGATAGGGGTTAGAAATAGAGTTCGGAATACTGTTAAACTAATTAAAAGAAGAAACTTAGATCTGTTGAGATTAAGATGAGATGAAAAGATGATTCCTGGGAAGATAAGTTTTTAGGTCGATAAGTTAACAGAATAGAGATTTTTGAATAAAATGAGCTAGAGGTTGGAATCCTGTCTAAATAATTAAAAGTAGATTTATAGATGTGTTAAGAGAGTTTGATGAACAGAAAAAGAGAAATTTAGATGAATGAAAATAAATAGATAAAGATAATAGTAATTAAGGAAATATAATATTAAATAAGTGATTTATTATTTTTTAGAAATTTAGGTTGTACGAAGAAAAATGTTTTAAATATATTTAATAAAGATTTTTATATTTATCGATTAATAACATAATTAAAATAAGAAATAGTAGATCAGTATTGAAGATTGATTAAAAGAATTTGATGAACAGAAAAAGAGAAATTTAGATAAGAAAGATTCACTAACCAAAGTTGAAATATAGAATTTTACAAGCAAAATCGATTAAACTTCGAAGTCGAAAGATATTCGATTGGAAAATAGATTCATCCAATCTCAGATTCTAAGCTATTAAAAATAGAATGGCCCCTCCATTAGAATGGCCCCTTTTTGGAGGTATCGAAAAATAGAATGGCGGCCATTCTATTAGAATAAATACGGTAGATAGAGGTTAGAATCCTATGGAAATAATTAAAAGAAAATATATAGATACCTATTTTCGACATTATAAATATTTGAATGATTAAGTGAAAAATACCTAAAATATTTATATAATTATTTTTTAATTAAATAATAAATTAAAAATCCATCACAATTTGTGCATTTGACTTTTCTGGTCTCAATTTTCGACTCAAAGAGAATTTTGGTTCGCCTTTAATTAAAAAAAATTTGTTTTAATTTTCTTTTAAATTAAAACTTACTTTTAAATAATTTATTATATAAATATTTGACAACTTCAACAATTGAATTTCGATCAGAAGAAGAAATTTCAAATAGTTTTACTTTAAAGAAAAATATTTTTTTAAATTATTTTTAGACAAAAAACCTTTTTCTTGATTAGCCCAATTTAAAGCAAATTGACTATCTACACGTCGACGACCAATTAAATCACATTTTGTGCCGAGAACAATTATTTGAACATTCTTAATGAATTAAAAATATTTTTTTGTTAAAATTAAATTTGATTTTAGAAAATTGAAAAAGGAGGCCGAGAAATTTTAATTTAATCGTCCTTCAAATTTTATATCAAAAATTATTTTAAAATTTTTTTTAATTTTAAAACTAAAACTAACCTCCCCTCCTCCCCCTCCACGTTTTTCTTTCCCTCCAAACTTTTCCTTTTCTAATTGTTTTTTAATTGCATCTACTCGATTAAATGAATCCAAATCTGTAACTGAATAAACCAGAATAAAAGCATCTGCTATCTAAATAAATAATTTTCTAATTTTTTAAATGAAAATTTAAAAAAATTTTTGAAAGGTATAAGGAAGAGATAAGAAAATTTTCATTTTTCTTGACTGAAACTTCACTCCAAAATACAGAATTTAATTATTCCAAATTTCTGTGTCTGTTCCGGGTTTTTAATTAAATCTTTTACGGACTGGATTTTTAGGACTAATAGAAAATCCCTGAGAGACCTGGCTTCACCTAAAATGCATCTACAATTCTCTAAATACCTAGTCAAAGCCCTATCCGGGTTTAAACTTTAATTATTAAAATATAAAAATTATTAAAACCAAAAAATTTCAAAATCAAGAATCTAAAAAAACCTGTAAATATCCTCTCTTAAATTCAATATTTCCAAAAGGAGTAATCCCAACAGTGTCGTGAAACAAAATTAATTCAGTAGGTGTTTGTTTATTTATATTTCCATCTATTAAAGAATTGGGCGGGTTAAAACGATGTAATTGAATATGATATGTGTCGTCTTCTCTAGTTGGGGAATAATTCTATTAAAAATTAAAAAAAATTATTGATCTAATGGTTTCTAGGCCAAAAAATTTTTTGTTAAAAATTTCATAAAAACAAATTAAATATTTCCCCATATATAAAAATTAATTTTTTATTTTTTCAACAAAAATTAAATAAAAAGAAATTTACTTGTTGTTCAAGCAGGGGAGATATAAAGCGTGATGTATTGCTAGTTGAGGAAGTTGGAATATGTCCAAAAGCTAATGTTCGAAGAAATGTTGTCTAAAAAGGATATTTAAAAATTAATTTATTTTTAATTTTCTAAAAACCTTTCCAACATCTTTAGGCCCAAAAACCATTACATGCAATATTTTTGGTTTCATTAATTCAAAATTTTCTGTCGCTCCAGACCTTCTCGAAGTACTTCTTGACTGCCTTTTATCTTTGGGAGAAACAAAATGGAAAGTACTTCTGCCAGCTTCTATAAAAAATTTTTTTATCAAAACCTCCAAAAAATTGTTTGTGTATGCGATAGAAAATCGCGTCAAAGTGGCCGCTTTATTTTCTCAAAAATTAAAAACAGAACGCCAAAATTTTGTTTTAATTTAATTTTTAAAAATATTTTCCCCTAATAAACTTGCCAGAATTTCCCTCTTCGGGAGTATTTTTCCCTGATTGTTTATCTCCAAGTAAAAGCTGTGCCAAAGTTCCACGACGTTTTTGTTCACCCTTTTTTGCATCTTCAACCTTTGGGAATTCTTCTATAAAAATTAAATTTAATTTTAATAATTAAAAATATGTATAATTAGCCTAAAAATCTTCCAAAAATACATTGAATAGAATGACGGCGAGAATTTATTGAATTATTAATATTTTTAATATTCATTGATATTTTTTATAAAAATGATTTTGAGGGGTATTTATTTTGTTTATATTTATAGTGGATATACATAAATTATGTATATGTATATTTTTTGGAAATTCAATATAGGAGAAAATAAACAAAAAAAATTAAATTTCATTTTCAATTTAATAGTGAACAGACTAATGTACCATGAGGCTAAGGTAGAACTTCATTCAAAATTGTCGAATCTGAAACTCCCTAGTAAGTTCGATTCAAATCGTCAAGGCGCATCGATCGACCATTTACGTTGGGGTGTACCCAATATAATATTAATTTTAAATTAACAAACTTGGAAAATTTGATGGCCTTCTTGGATTCATTTAAAATATATTTAAAATTTAAATAAAAATAAAATAATTCTTCTCAAAATGTTTTTTTCTTATTTTTTTTAAATATCTATCGCTTTTTTCTAAAAAATAATAAACAAAAATTTGGAAACCCCTTTAAAATGATTCATTTATTTTCAAGGCAATAAATGATTCAGAATGAATCAACCCTTGCTTAATAATTTTTTTTTATTTTTAATGTTGATTTCAATCGAAAGGCAGGACTTTCTTTTAGATGTTCCAAACCTCGAGTTTTTTAATTGGTTGATCATCGAGTAAACAGAGCTTGTTTAAGCGATGTTTTCAATTTAAGGTACCCTTTATCATAAGGCTCGAGCTTAGCCCCAAGAGTTTATTTAGACTGTATTAAGTAAAACAGTTGAACCCATCCCAGAGAACAACAAAGGATTGGATGTGACATGAGCCTGAGCTCTCCGATACAAGGTTGTTAAGTAACTCTCAACCATTTCACTACCGACTGATCGTTTTAATTTTAATTTTATTTGATAAAGTGGGAGGAAACTTCACTGGCCTTATAATTATCAAATATAGCTTTTCTTATTTTTCTAAAAATATAAAACTTTAAAATAAAAATTTTACATTACAAAACAATCCTTTAAAAAATATTTTTTTAATTTTCTTTTTATTTTCCCATCCTTCTAAATGTTCCAATATGTGATTTACAATTTGGACATCTATGTTCAGCATCTTTAAATGTCTCAATAATAAATGGAACCCACAGAAAAAATAATGGAAGAATAAAAACTCCAGCAATTAAAATAATCAAAAATGAAACCCAAGAGAATAATCCAGCAACAAATTTAATTTCTGTATAGCCATGAGCCTATTTTTGAAAAAAAACAAAAGTTTAAATTAGGGTTTTTAATGAGAAAATAATTTTTGTTTATTAATTTAATATTTAATAACAAATTAAGTTATTTGTTAGCGGAGCGGGGAAGTTGAGCGCCCGGCTACAACTTTTTTTTATAATTGACTCAATTCGAATGAACCTTAAATCATTCGAAACTCTCGATAAGCGGTATATTTCTTCCAACTGGATGAATAAGTCTGATCTCCGGTTAAAAAGTTACAGGTCGATAAGTGCAAGTAATCGTTGTTTTTCACATTTATCGACTTGTAACTTTTTAAGTTGTGATCAGACTTGATTCATCCAGTCGGAAGAAATACCAAAAAATAACAAAAGATTGGATAGGCCTAATTCTGAGAGATCCTCTCGGAATTAACCTCTCGACCCACCAGTATCCTCTAGCTTTATTTACTAGGATTGGAGGGAACTTCGCTTCCCTTACATTAATTAAATTCTCCTAAATTACTATCAGCTCTATTTTAAAATAAAATTTAAAAAATATAGAAATTGGATATTGTAATGTTTTATTAAAAATTATATTCAAGCAAACCTTACAACGAGGACAGTCAATAAGTTGTGGTCGATCACTAAGCAATTTATTGGCATTTACCAACAATGATGGACTATTACTTACAGAACGATTATGTAAAATAAGTGGTGGGGATTTAATTGAAGGGGAATATGAACGTTTTTGATTAGAGGAAGAAATACTTGGGGCGGCTGCCATTTATTTTTTAGAAACTAACAAAATGTCAGATCTCGAATTTAGATTTCCTCGCAAAATTTCTTTAATCGAGTAAAGCAGCTGGGCTATAGCTATTTTCCCCCTTTAGCTAGTGCAAAAGGTTATTCGGCGGGAGCGAACCAGCATCTTCAGTAGACCGAACTGATGTGTTAGCCATTACACCACGCCGCCTATTGGATAACCTTAAGGAAATAAATAGCTATATATGCTTTAATTGTTGGTTAGCCATTAGGTGGAGGGTGGCATTAGGCTACTTAAGTTCATCGGATTAATTAAAGGTATCTGGTAAATAAAAGGTATGTATCTACAATTTAAGCCCCAAGAGGATCTTTAGAAACGAGGTTAATTTATAAGTATTTTTCCACCCCAAAGAGAAGGCATTTAAAATCGAGATTAAAATCGAGGTCTGATATTATCAATATGAATTTTTAAAAATTTTTTTTTGCAGAAAAACAAGTAAAATAACAAAGTAAAATTACTTTAAAAAATTTCTTTTTTGTTTTATTTACTTTTAACTGCTAATCTTTTTCCTTGCGCTTCCATTTTATTTTTCAAGAAAAAGGTAATTTTCTTCTTTTTCTTTTTAATTTTTGTTTGCTTTCAAATTCTTTAAGAGGAGAAAACTAAAAGGTAGAAAACGTTTAAAATGTGTATATAACTTTAAACTTTAAAGAAAATAAAAGAAAAATTTAAAGAAGCTTAGCGATAGTAGAAGCTAAATAGACATACTTATTTTTCTTTTAAAAAATGAGAAATGATTTTAGAAGAATGATATTGTAAATTAAAAATTTATTGAAAATTGTTTTTGAATTAAAGAATCGAACAATAAGCATATTCGCAAAACAAAAAAGCTACTACAAAAGGTACTTTTCCGTTTTCCACCTCCCCGAAATAATGAACCTCTAGTCCAGAATTTGTCATGGCCTGAAGAGGGGAGGTCAAACTACAACTGGAAAAATTCCGTCATACAGGAAACTCATTCAGAAAAACAATATGTCGAGCATTTTTTATCTACATTTTTATACATTTATATACATCTACATACATTTTTATATACATATTTTATACATTTATTATCACAATCGAGAGACAGTTATTTATTCATCTTCTCTTTATGTTGCAGGCATCGACATCCAATCAGGAAGTTCCTTCGTTTGCAAATCTGGCGCTTTTCTTTTAAGTGCACCAAAGAAGCTTTTCAATATCATTCCATAGTCGGGATCTACAGTTCCAGGGGTTCGATTGAGTTTACTAAAAAAGAATAATCTTTAAAAGATTAATTCTAATTAATTTTTTACTGATATACGAATTTCTCTAGGCAAACGAGTGAAGACAACATGGTGGGCAAAAGTATCACGCAACTGAGCAGAGACAGCAACCGTTTTTGCTGCACGCCAAGGAAGCCTTTAAAAATAAAATTTTTGTTTAAAAAATATTTTTTTATTTTTAAACTCACTTTCCACTAATCAATTCGGCAACAATGTAGATTACAGAAATAAAGTCATCTGCTGGACCCTGAAAAAGAATAAATTTAATCAGAAGCACCTTAATGAGGGGGTTTTGAGGGGAGACCCTTCTAAAATTATTCTCCCAAGTCTCTCCCTTATCCCAACTTCTCCACAACTCCCTCAGCTATCCCTTTACTCTCAATAGGTGTGATAATTAAAAGAGAAAAGTCTCTCCAATAAAGTACCTGAACATGCCGAGTAAGAGCTCTCTTTGAACTATATTTGCGCGTTCCAACCAAATCGTTTTGCTTGTTCTGCCTAAAAAAGTTAAAATTTAATTGAATTCTGTTTCGTTATTCCCTCCCACCTTGAAGGCCATTTAACAGCCAAACTAAAATCCATGTGCATAACATCATCCCTTAACCCTTCTATTGTGAATGGAGTCTTCAACAAAAAGTTCCAAGGAGTAACATAGCGATGGATGAATCCCAATTTGTGAAGAGAGTTCAAAGCTTGTACTAGACCAATTCCAACATTTAAAGCAAGCCAAGGCTCCACAATCCTTTAAAAAAGACAAAAATTAAAACAAAATTTCTCCTCTTTCTCTCACCCAAGAGGAGCATTAGCCAACAAAGAGCTAACAAAAACTCCTGCCGGCATATTGTAGAGAATTGCTGGTCTACTAATCCAATCCGGGTCGTGTTCGTATTGCTGGAATTCTTCAATACCAAAGACAAGCCTTTTCAATTTCCCCTTCAATACACACTTTGGGATGTGAGGAAACTTAAGCCCGTTCTTTCCTTCTTTTGCATCATGAGCTTTCGAGACTTGCAGGAATGCGTCAAATGACTCTTTTGCATCTCTTCGAGTTGCTTCTGGTCTAGCAATATATGCAACAACTGGCTAAAAATTATAAAAAATTTCTTTAGAAAGAAAAACTAAGCAATTACAGGTGCCCACGGCTGCTGCGAGTTGAAGATACTGTAGATAGCCAAATCCCTTTCCATTTGATCGTCAAAAGGCTCCACAATCAGATAAGTGTCCTCAAAAATTCCGCAAACATTGTGGGCTCGTCTCGGCACTTCAAGAAAACGTCCTTCTCCCAGCAAACCCTCCCCAACAATCCCATCCTCTTTATCGTCGTCCTTATCCTCTCCCTTCATATTGCTTGAGGCTGGAGTTTTGTCCATAGCAGATGAATCTGATCCCGCAGTTCCACGTTCGCCTCTTGTAGCTCTGGATGTTTTCGAAGCAATGGACTTTGACTGTCCTCCACCCATGATGACCTTCTTTGCCTTGTGATTTGTTGTTGGTGTTGTTTTAGACTGATGTTGGAATGTTTTAAATTGTTTTTGTTTAAGCCTTTTATAGTAACTTTTAGTTCATTGTCCAAATGTCTCGCTGTCTTATTGTCTTAATAATCTACTATTACCTTTTTGAAAGTAGATATTATGAAATTATGTATTTTACATTTCATTATTAAAAAAGAGAGAAAAATAGGAACGAGAGAGCATGGGGGTGAGAAAAAATTATTTGTTCTTTTAGAACAGCGACACATATTTCCAATAAATTTTCGTCCATCTTTATATTGAAAAAACTTTTGCTTCCTTATGTTCATTCCAAATGGACATATACTAAAATTGGAACAATACAGAGAAGATTAGCATGGCCCCTGCGCAAGGATGACACGCAAATTCGTGAAGCGTTCCAAATTTTTTGTAAAATTTGGATTAATTTTTAAAGGATGAATTATTAATTTTTATATACAGTCGTGGAAAAAAGTATGGAAGCGCTAGAAAATTTTTTCTTAATTTTTAATTTTTCATTCAAAAAATACGTTCTATATACCAATCGAAAGCTCTATTCGTATCTCAGTTGACATGTTTCTGCATTTTTCATGAAAATGAAAATTGGCCGAGATAATCCGGATCTACCGGATATACCAAATCCCATTTTTTCGGAAAAATTTTTCGGAACAAATTTATCAAACCCAAATGATAAAGTATATTTTCGTGAGCATTTTCCACAAAACCGCTTAGAAATATCTTTTTCCGGAGCAGAGATATGATTTTTTGAAAATCGTATTTTTCGTCAATTTTTGCAAAAATTTCAATTTTTAAGGGAAAAATGCGATTTTCAAAAAATCATATCTCTGCTCCGGAAAAAGATATTTCTAAGCGGTTTTGTGGAAAATGCTCGCAAAAATATACTTTATCATTTGGGTTTGATAAATTTGTTCCGAAAAATTTTTCCGAAAAAGTGGGATTTGGTATATCCGGTAGATCCGGATTATCTCGGCCAATTTTCATTTTCATGAAAAATCCAGAAACATGTCAACTGAGATACGAATAGAGCTTTCGATTGGTATATAGAACGTATTTTTTGAATAAAAAATTAAGAATTTAAAAAACTTTTTCTAGCGCTTCCATACTTTTTTCCACGACTGTAGTTCTGCTTTTATTTTAAATTAATTTTTGCTATTTTCATTCTGATTGAAGTAATCATCTTTCGTGGCTTTGCAGTTTGCCAAAATATGCATTAAGAACCGAGTCCTAGAGTGCTAGGACCAATGTAAAGACACCATTTTTGTTTTTCATCATGGCATATCCGCATACAAAAACATGCATTTGCATGTTTTTCCCATCCCAACTTATTATTATGTTCTTTAAAACAGAAGAAAAAATCTACTCGAAAACGAGAAATGCATTGAATCAATTTCATTTAAAAAATATGAGAATTTTAAACAACTTAAACACTTGTGTCAAACTCTAAAAGATTAATTGTTTACAGACAAAACCCCTAAACATAGTTGCAACTTCTATTTTTACTATTGAATTGAAAATGATTTTCTAACCCAAAATATAAACACGGATTGATACATTTTTTATTAAACAATTATATAAAAAAATTTCAACCAAAAACAAATCTAATTAATATCCACATTTAATCAATTTTCTTTGTAGCAATTAATTGCCTTTCTGGAGGCGCATAAACTCCCATATTTCGATAAATAATTAATTTCTCCATTAAATCAGAATTAATTGAAGAAGGTTTAATTTCAATAAAACGACAAATAAGATCATATTTAAGTTGATAACCAATTGTAGAAAAATGAATTTCCCGATCAAGAAGAAAATTAATAAATCTAAAAAATAATTATTTAAATTATTTTAAAATTTACAAAAATAGGCATATAACGATAGAAATAAATTACTAGTAGAATAATATTTCCGAATATTTTTTATTTCCTATTAATGAAATAATTGGGTAAATACGGGGAAGATGGATGATTTTATAAATAAGAGGGATGATAAATCTTCAGAAATTTATTATGGTGAATTATCCCTCTTATTATCAACATTCTAGGATCTAGTATCCCTCTTATTTAGAAAATTATCCCTCTTCTCCGTATTTACCCAATAATTTCATAAATTGGAATTAAAAATTATTCGAAAATATTATTTTACTAAAATGATATAGAAGTGATTTTTTTATTTATTGTTAGATATAAATGTGAAACGAGTTCGAGGCCTCCGTTAAATTTTTAGTAAAATAATATTTCCGAATATTTTTTAATTTCAATTTATGAAATAATTGGGTAAATACGGGGAAGAGGGATAATTTTTTAAATAAGGCGGATGATAATTTAACATAATAAATTTCAGATGGGATCTATAATTATCCCTCTTCCCCGTATTTACCCAATTATTTCATAAATAGGAAATAAAAAATATTCGAAAATATTATTTTACTAACATTTTTTTTCAAAAACCCCGAATTGCCAAAAACTCTATAAACTCGATAAAAAAATAAAAAACAAACCCATCAATTAAACAAAAATATTCTGGTGCCCATTGATGTTTCATTAAAGCAATTAAAGCATTTAAAGAAGCAATTTGAACTTCCGGAATTAATTTTTTAAGACAATCAAAAAGTAATTTAGGGAAGTGTTCACCCAAATAATTAAACCAAATTTTTAAAACATTTGAAGATTCAGCACTCTCGACATTTCCAAATATTGTAGTAATATTATCTAAATACCAAGCCTTCCTTTCTGGTGTAGCTGATCCTCTTGCAATTGCTACAGCAAGACAATTAAAGGCTTTAGCAATATTGTATGGACCTTTAAAAGAATAATTTTTGAAAAAATTTAAATAAAAAAATTTTTTGAAAATAATATCAATATCCTAGAGTTACTTTTGAACTTCAGGGTCGACCTTTTTCATTTTTTCTTAAATTATCCAAATTTAATATTTTTTTGATTTATTTACTAGCCAAAGTCGAGTAGGGAAAATTAGTAATAAATGAAAAATGAGAACCACAAAATTTAAAATTATACTCAAATCGTTGTTCACCCCCTTCTTTCCGCAATAACTTTCTCAAGTTATTAACTTTCTCAAGTTATTTTTTTTCAAGGGTCCTGATCACAAGGGTGAGGGATTTTTTGGGAAATTTCTATGTAAATTTAAAAATTAATAAAAATCAATACAATTTTCGCTGCTCAAAAATCTTTTTGCTCCAATAGTTTTTGTCACAACAGCAAATGTTTCAAAAGCCAATTTGCGTCTAAGAGGATCGAGAGAATCAAAATGATAGATTGCATCAAAAACATCAGAAGTAAAAATTGGAAACTTTTCTAAAGCATTGGAATCTGTTGTACTTAAATAGCCAAAGAAACGAATACAAGCTTGAAAAATTTTTGAATTATTAAAAAAAACTTTTTTTAAGTTTAGAAATAAAAATATTCAGTCTTTAAATTAAAACTGAATAGGAAAGAATTAAACCTAACATAAAGACGCCCAGACACACTCCCGTAACTAGGGTTGGGGTTTTCGAGTCGGGGTTCGTTCGAGTTATTTTTCCGGGCCGGACCGCCCAAATCATTTTCGGGTCAAAATTTGATGCCCGGCTCGATCTTCCGGACCGGGCCCTCAACCCTACCCGAAGTTGATAGAAGCCTAATTCAAGGGAAGAATCTATCAAAGAAAAAATTCAAAAATTTTTAAAAACCTGTGTGTGTAATACCCATGTCCGTATCTTCTTTTGTCGTTTGGAAAAGTTTATAAATTTTTTGTAAAAGTCCAATACTTTCAAAATAATTAATATTTTCTTGTTTAGAAGAAGCTATATCAGCCAACATTTCCAATGCTGTAGAACATCCAAGTAAATCATTTGTATCCACTTCACTAACCAAAGCATTAATTAACGGACTAAGACGTTGATATTCATTAAAATCTGGCAAAAGCATTGCTGAACGGGTAAACTAAAAAATATAAATTTGGCAAATAAATAGGGGGGGGGTCGTGGGTTCGAACCCGGCCGGGGAAAAATAATTTTTATAAGGGCAGAGAATGAGTTCCCAACACCCCCAAAATGTGAATACCTTTAAAAATCCCACAAAAAATTTATTTATAAAAAAATTAAAAACCTCGTGAACCAAAAATCGTTTTTCCGAATTATCAATTCCTGGAGACAACAAAGACAATTGTTGTTTAATAAAATCATCATCCCTTATTTTGGATCGAAGTTCGCGATTATTGTCTATTTGGTCTTTCATTATTTGATATGTTTTTGTTGTAATTCTAAATTAAAATGAATTTAAAAAATGATGAGAATTAAATAAAATTTTAAATAAAAAGAAATGGTTGGTGGACACCCAGTTGATCGAAAATAATAAATTAAATATGGAGAAAATATTCGATCTTTTGGGTTTGAAATTGAGATGATTTTTAAAAAGGTGGATTTTTCAACAAAAATTTTTTTCTAAATTTGAAAAAGCAAATGGGAAAGTATGAAGGAATACTCCCAGTAGAGTCGAGATTTTTGAAAAGCCTGGTCCTGGGTTCCTGGATTTGATTTATTGACCTGGGCTGGATCATGGGCTTGTAGTCCAGGAAAAACCCAGACCCAGGAAAAGCCCAGGAAGGTCAAAAAATGCCTGGACCTGGACTCTGGGTACAGGAGAAACCCCAGGCCTTGGTTCAGGCCCAGCTCGATCTCTAATTCCCAGACAAATTCCCCAACAAAATTCAAAAATAATCACAATTTAAAAACTTCAGCAGGCGCTCTAAGACTTTCCGATGAACCAGAGGAACTTGTAGAAAGCAAATATGTTGGTGAAAGAGTTTCCCTACTACTTTTACGAGAATTAGTAGTAGATGAAGACGAAGAAGTAAGAATATTACTGTTTTGATTACAGGAAGAGCAATAATTTGTGTAGCCAGAAATAAGTGAAGATGATAAATCTGAGGAATATTCTGACGCTGATGACATACAAACACAACTAAAAATAATGGAAATCTAATTGTTTTTAATTAAAAATGTTAAAGAAATTTTAATAAGAGGGTTGCGCGATAACGTTTGTCGTGGATTTTTGGCGTCATTTTTGGTTGATTTTGGCGTTCTGTCGTTTGGCATATTTTAAGAATTCGAAAAATTGGCGTTTTTTGCCAGACGAAAATTTTGACGCATAGCTATTTTTAAATATCTAATATTTTTGTGATATTTTTATTCGAGAATCGGTAAGGGAAACTTTCTCCATCCTCGGAAAAAGAAGAGAGAGAGAATGGTGGTCGCGCAGAGATTGAAGTTGACTATTTGGAGTTGATCCGTGAACAAGCGTAGGCCACAACAGCGTGATCAATTGGTAATGGTAATGATGAAGATATGTCTTTAAAAAGAAAAAGTTATGAGCCAGTACATTTTCTAGCTTAAAACTAAACTGATTCACCACCAATTTGCGAGAATCAATACTTTCCCTCAGTATTTTAATTTAATTCTTAATTGGTAGTTTGTCTATTTTTTCCACTACTCTCTTTTGATAAAATTTACAAAGTTTATTCACATTCGGAAATTTTAATAATTTTTTCTTTCATAAATTAATTTTTTGAACCTTTAACAATTTTTATTGGTTTTATCCCGACACGTAAGAATATTTTCGAGATATCTTTGTTTATTTCCATCGATAAAATTAATCGACACTTTGATTATTTAATTTTAATCTAATTTAAAATTATTACAAAATTAATTGGTTATCACAAAGATTTTTTTTCAAAATTTCTTTCATAAATTAATTACTCTCAATATTGAAATAAATAAAATAATAAAATAAATTATTTTAAAATTAATTAAATTCGAAGTTCCAGAATTTTCTTTTTCATTTAAATTATTACAAAATTCATAGAAATTTTCAAAATCAGAAGCCTTTGCTAATTCTCGTAATTCGTTTATCCAGTTGGTTATTGAAATTGTTTTAAATCCAATATGATTATTACTAATTGATTTGTCTAATTTCTGTTAATTTAAAATTAAAAATTAGTAAAAAATTATTTTTAAATTAATTTTGGAACAAATTTTTATTCAAAAAATTGCTAATTTTTTAAAATAAAATCCTTCTATGCAACTAAATTTTACACTAATAAAATATCTGGCTGACAAGGAAACATGTTGAACTGAATGTGAAAATTTTGTATATATTTTTGCACTATCGTGTAGAGCATGGTCGATAATCTATTGCCAATTTTCGGCTTTTTTTGGCCCTGACCCCCAGTTCGAAAAGTTATAACTGATCAAAGTTTCAGTATTTTAGAGCGAGCGATTTTCACATACAGTTCAAGATGTCTCCTTATTAAATTCTTTTTGAAAAAAGTTTAAAAAAAGCGTGTTTTAGCCCCTAGTTCCTTGTTTAATCAAAAACAAAGATTATAATTAGAACTCTATTTTATACACAAAATTAACAAGACAAGTAAAATGAGCTAAATTAATTACTAAAAAATTGTAAATGAGTCTAACCATTATTTGTTTTATAAAATTAATTATTACTTGATTTAAAACAGAAGAATCACCAATAAGACAATCACTTTGCATTAAAAGATTATAAATAATTGATTTATCATTTAATATTTCATTTGAAGATATCCTTACTTCCAACCAATTAAATAACCATTCTGCCATTTTACAATCACAGAAAAGTGAATTTTGCTTAAAAGAAATTTTTTTATTGTGGATTAGGTGAGAATAAGGGTGTCGAGTTCAAACCGAAAAATCGAAGATTTTCTGTCCGGTTTCGTGTACCCAAAAATTTTGGCGAAATCGACACCTCTGGGTGAGAGGCATAAAAATTTTTAAGGAAATTTTGAAAAGATGGACCTCTTATGGTGCCTCTATAAAACGGATATCTTTGATTTATCTCAAATATTTTCTAAGTTAATCACTCTTTTAAAAAATAATTTGATTTTATTTTCTTTACCTTTATTTCCAATTTCTCCAATATAGTACCATATCCATTCAAAAAAGGCAGTGACCATTTATTAAAATTTCCAAAGGGATTGAAAAAATTTAATTGTTTATTATTCAATAAATTTAGCCGTAAAAAAGTAATTCCTTTAATATTTTGTAATGATTGAATGGGGAATTCTCGTAATTGAGTTCCTTCAATTGTTAATTCTAACCGGAAACCTCTAAGATTATTAAAAGCATTTGGGGAAATCTGTTGGAAAATTTAAAAAATTTTTTATTTAATTGAAAAAACAACAAAACTCGTCTAATAGACCTTCCAGTAATTGTTAATTTTCGAAGTAATCTTAAATCGAATAATTCCAATTCTGAACCAGTAAATTCAGCCTCACGACTTTCAAAGTGTAGAGAATGAAGTGGAGGTAAAAATTGTAAAATTTTGGAAATTTTTGGAGAAATATTTGGTGGTAAGGAATGTAACTGAGAAGAGGAGGAAAATAAAAATTTAAAAATAAATTTACTTCAAGTTCTTTCAATCTTTTTAAATTAGACCAAGAATTGGGAGAAGGAAGAGAAACAAGTTGTGGTAAACGAGCAATTGTTAAACTTTCTAATTGAGTTAATGCACGAAAATGGGTGTCGTCCAATGATTGGAGATCGGAAAAAAATAAAATTTTTAAATAATCAGAATTATTAAAATCAGAATATTCAAATAAATTTTGATAAGAGAAATCAGAAATTAAAAAAAGAATTTAAAATTCAGAATTTAAAACCAAAATTTAAAACTCAGAATTAAAAATCAGAATTTGAAAATCAGAATTTAAAAATCAGAATTAAAAATCAGAATTTGAAAATCAGAATTTAAAAATCAGAATTTGAAAATCAGAATTTAAAAATCAGAATTAAAAATCAGAATTTAAAAATCAGAATTAAAAATCAGAATTTGAAAATCAGAATTTAAAAATCAGAATTAAAAATCAGAATTTAAAAATCAGAATTAAAAATCAGAATTTGAAAATCAGAATTTAAAAATCAGAATTAAAAATCAGAATTTGAAAATCAGAATTTAAAAATCAGAATTAAAAATCAGAATTTGAAAATCAGAATTTAAAAATCAGAATTAACAAATCAGAATTTAACAATAAGAAATTTAAAAATCAGAATCTGAAAAACCTGAAAATAAAATTCAGAATTTAAAATTAAAAATCGAAATATCAGAATTTCAATTTTTGAAATTCTGATATATTTAAAATAATTCTGATATATTTAAAATAATATCAGAATTTAGAAACCATTAAAAACCAGAATTTGAAAATCAAAAGCAGAATATCATAATTTAAAAAATAACAGAATTAAAAAGCAGAATTTAAACTCAGAATTTGTAAATCAGAAAATAAATAATAAATCAGAATTAAAAATAACAGAATTATTACCATTATCGCTAACATTTAAAACTTTCAATTCAGGCATTTTTTCAAAAATTTGTGCATTTAATTCAACAATTCTATTTCCAGATAAATCAAGCGAAATAAGTGAGGGGAATATTTCAATCTCTTTATGGTCAATTTCATAAATAAAATTATTGCTTAAATTTAAATATTCTAGTGAAGATGAACGTAGACGAGGCAAGGAAAATAGGCCAACATTTGATAAATCTATTTTTGTTATTATTTGGCTTAAACCCTTGGATTTTTAAATTTTTTTTAATTAAAAATTAAATAAAAACCAGAAAAGTGTGTGGTGACCAACTATTTATTGGATTTCCACTAAATAAATTTTTTTAGAAATAATTTTTTTTAAATTACCTCAAATCGAGATGTTTAAGTTTGGGAAGAAGTGAAAAAACTTCCTTTAAAATAATTAAATTATTTAAATAACTACAAATTTGAATGAATAATTAAGGAAATACTAAAACTAAATCAACCACAACTGGATTTATAACTTTATTGTTTTTTAAGGTTAAAACTAGAGCCAGGAATTTTGTAAGGTACCGTATTCTGTACTAAAATACCAAGAAATACCAATAAAAACGTATCTGTACCTTAAAAAATAAATTTATTCAGCACTAATTTTTGTTTATGTAAAGATATAGATGTAAAGATTTATGTAAAGCCAAGAAAAAGTTCGTTGAAGAGTTAAAAGAAAAACCGTTTGTGGCTTTTCATGAATTTTAAAATAAAGGGGGAATTGGATCAAATAGAACTAGTCTCTTTTTAAAGATTTTGAAGCAAAAGCTACAGTGGATAATAGCTACAAGACGAATATATCCTTCTTGTTGAAATACAATTAAGCAAAGGAATGAACATAAAATTTCGTAAAAATTTTACTATAAAAACCCCCTAATTACTACTTAATCTCAAAAATTCGCTACACTTGGTCTCATCTTTTGCCCTGCAAGTAATAATGTTCTGCTTGACCTGCAAAGGGTCCCTGTCCGTCAACGTGCTTCTGTTGCTGTTGCCAATTGCCTTGATGCTCTCAGCCTTCGTTCCGGTGCCTTCTGTTGCCTTCTCAGAACCAGAACCACAACCATCGCCGTCTGCTACTCCATCACAGACCTCGGTAACAAAAATTTTGTAAAGTAATACAAAAGAAATTTTTAACATTCCAGGAAGATTGCATGGATGATGGCCGACTCGTCGACAGTGCATTGGGTGGTGTTATGATCGCTCTTATCCTGTGAGAATAAAAAATAGCTCTTGATCCAAAATAAAATTTTTTTTTTTGTAGCATTCTGACTTGGCATATCATTCGTCTATGTTGCTGCAAACAAAAGCCGGTTCAATATCCACCGCCAGCACCGCCGATGGCTAGCAATGTTGCAACCACTTCTGTCCGCTCCAGCACTTCTGTCCGCTCCAATACTTCTGCCCGCGCCGGGGCCAGTGTTCGTCCAGCCGCATCTGAACGCGTCCGGGAAAGCACACAGAGGAGCAAAACCGAGTCTGTGAGGAGCAGAACCGAATCGCAAAAGAAGGCTCTTGGATCTGCCGGCACTGGAACTAAAGGCACTACTTCTAGCTCTATGCGCAACACTGGTAGCACAAGATAGAGGAAATGGAGAGATGATGAGGATAAAAGGAAAATATATAAAAAGGAAGATTGGATATATATTTGCGATGATTATTTGTGTGTATTCTATAAATAATATATAAATGTATATGTATGTTTATTGCTTGGATTGTATATATTAATTGTTGTATATAATGTTGTATATCTCTCTATGTATGTTGTAATAAAATGTGTTTAAAATTGTTTGGAATTGTGTCCAAACTAGAGGTCAGTCGGTTTTGAGGTTGGCGGTTCCCAGTATCTGAAACATTAAAAACCCCGAGTATCCAGAAATTTTCGGTTGGGATATCGGTTTAGATGCCACTTCCCCTATCAGTACTTCCTTGCAGTCTAAACACTCCGAGTTGTTCCTTCTGAGTTGTTTCAAAGCACCCGAGTTTCCGAATGGGTGATTCCTCTTGGCAATTTTATACAGAAAATAATGATTATATTGAATACATAGGTAAATGCCGTCGTTAGTACGGTACCATCCAGGCTCTAGTTAAAACGAAGGTAAAATTCCATATATCTCCCTACCCCGATTAGGACAACTTTCTTCTTTATAATTTCAGAAAAAAATTTTTAAAGGAAAAATGACAACCACCTAAACGACTTTTAGTAACAAGTCTAGTATCAGGAGGTTTTCTTATATGTATTCCAACGGAATTAATTTAAAAATAATTTATTTTAAAAATTCAAAATTACCTCGTCTAAAATTTCAATTTTATTTTCAGAAAGACACAAATAATTTAAATTATTTATTTCCTCAAAATTATTTTTTTCAAGTATTTTTAATGCATTATTTGCCAAATTAAGTGATTTTAGACTTGAAAATATTTTTTAAATAATTTATTTTTAATTTAAAAATTATGTACCTTTTTCTAACAGAAATTAATCCTTTTGTTGGAAAAACAGAAAAATTATTTTTACTTAAATCCAAAGAAATTAAATTATTTTTGCCAAATATTCCCTTAAAAATTATATTTAAATTTTAATTAAAATATTGTTTTTCACCTCTTCTAAATTGTTAAGCATATTTCCACTTAAATCCAAAAATTGAATTTGCTTCTTTAAAAAAAGTTAATTTAAAAAATATTTTTAAAAATTTTATTAAGAAGGTTGTCAATTAACACAAATTAGAATTGAATATTTTAGTGTAAAATTTCGTTTTTAGTGGGTAGTTGTCTACCCGGAAATTGGGTCCTGATTCTAAATTATAGTGAAGGTATTGGCTTAGTCATCCTCGACTTAAAATAGCGTAAAAGTACACTGAAAGTAGAGATCGGCCGAAGAGGTCGGTCGATATTTCTCCGGTAAATATCGAAAGGTATCGAAAAAAATCGTATCAATCTGATCTCTAATTTAAACGAGGCTTTATATGTATATTCTTAGAAGTATATTATAACAAGATTCTTACATATATAATGTTTAACTATTTTTATAGTTTCAATTAAATTATTTAATTTTTAAATAATATATTTACTTGATCTTTAAAAGTATTTTTCGAAATTTTTCTCAAATTATTATTTCCAAGTAATATTTTTGTAAGTCGAATACTTCCCCAAAATGCTGCAGAATTTAATTCCTTTTTAAATAAATTTAATTTAAATTTAAAATAATTAATTTTTTACAATTAATTCATTATAACTTAAATCAACATTTTCAAGTTGTCCAAAACTTTGAAGCATTTCGGAATTTAAAAATTCAATTTGATTATTTTTGGCAATAAATATTTTAAGCGAATTAATTGTTTGTTGAATATTAAATCTTTTTAAATTAAAATTATGTTTGAAAAAATATTTTTTTACTAGGAAGGGGGTTTTTCTAAAAATCGTGAACGGGCTTTTACGTTTACGGAACCCTATATACCACCATAATTTAGTCAAATCTAATAGTAGTACGTCTCGTTCAAAATCAAATTAAGCAGGAATGGATTTACTTGCCCCGTTCCCGAAATCTAGAATTTTATTATGTCGGCTGGATCCCTAGACGTAAAAAGAGAGAAACGCTGTATTAGAAAATGATACATATTTTATCAGAATTCAATGTAAATTCTTAATTTAAAATAAAATTTAACTATCTTTACAAGTAGGGCAAGTTTACAAGTTTTTAGAATATTTTAAACTCTTTTTTAATAAACTCCCAATAACCTTTTTAATTTATTATTAGATATATTAATATATTCAATTAATTGAGAATCCACAAATTGTTCTAATTTAAATATTTCAATTAAATTATTCGAAATATCAATTAATTTAAGTTTTGGTAATTTAAATAAATTGAGTTTTGTTAAATTTAACTAAAAAGATTTAATAAATTAATTAAAAAATAAATTGAATAAAAAAACTTTGTTATTTGAAAGAAAAAGTTTTTCCAAAAAAGGTAAATTATTAAACACATTCTCCTTTAGTTCATTTATCTAAATTTAATTTTTACGTTAATTAAATGAGTTGATTAAAAGATTATCTATTACTGTTTAATAAAGACTTTCTAGATCGAAAATTTTCAAAGACCCAAGACCTAAACTTGACCCCAAGACCAAAGCCGAAAAAAATCCTAGAAAAATCTTGTGAAAAGACTCAAGACCAAGAGTCTTGGTAGTCTCTACTGTTTAAACCCTAAATAATGAGGTACATAAGAATCACACTTTAACCTCGCAATTTAGTTAACTAATAAAAATATAAATTAAAAAACTTACATAATTATTAGAAATGAATAAATATTTTAATTTATTGAGGGAATTGAATGTCTTTAAATTAAAATTTTAATTAATTTAAAAAATAAATAATAAACACACCTTAGTTTCCAAAATAATTAATTTATTATTGTTAATAAATAATTGTTCTAATTTAGGTAAATTTTGGAATGATTCGGGTTGGATATTTGTAATTTTATTGTGTGCCAAATTTAATATTTTAATCTAAAATTTAATTTAAAATTAATTTTTAAATATTAATTTAAAATATAAACAAGGTTTTTAAAATATTTAATCGACATTTTAAGAATTCGAAACCTAAACTAGTCTGAATTTATTGTTCAAAAATTATCCAAAAATTTTTCGTTTAATTTAACTTTGAGAGAAATGAAAATGGAAAATTGCTAAAATATTGGGAGATTGGAATTAGGGTTGTCGGCCCGGTTCGGTTAGGTTTGAAAGATCGAATAGGGTTTCGATTCTGGGCCCGAAAAAGACTCAACTTTTGGCCTGGTAAAAGTGAGAACCGAAAAATGGAATTTTAAGAATTTTTGAAAATTAAAATTTCGGCCCATTTATTAAATTTTAATTATTAAATAAAAATTACATATTTCATAATCATTTTATTTTTTACATAAAAATAATTTAAAAAGAATTAATTACCGGTAAAATATTGTTTGATTGAAATATTTTAGAATTAATTTCTTTAATTTTATTTTTAGCCAAATTTAATTTAAATAAATTCAAAAAATATTCAAAACAATAATTAGGCAATAAATTAATTAAATTTCCTTCTAAATTTAATTCTTTTAATTTTAAAAGTGAAGAAAATGAATGGAGAGAATTTTCTGTTAATTTATTTTGCTTTAATTAAAATTTTAAATTTAAATTCTGATTAATTTAAAAAACCTCTAAATTAATTATTTCTAAAGATTCAAGCCTTTCTATTGCCGATTTTGTAATTAATTTAATTTTGTTGTTTTTTAAATTTAATTGGATGAGATTTACAAGGTAAAGGAAAGTTGAAGGTTCTGACTTTAAATTAAATATTTTTTTAATTATTTAATTTTAAATAGGGATGATCGAAGATCGGGATTAAAAATCAAAATTTGGGTGTATCAATTAATAACTGGTAGTGAATAGAGATCGGCCTGGGTCTGGACCAGGGTCTGGGTTTTTCCTGTACCCAGAGTTCAGGTCCCGGCATTTTTTGACCTTCCTGGGTTTTTCTGGACTACAGGCCCAGGATCCAGTCCAGGGCAAGAAATCAAACCCAGAGTCCAGGAACAGGTCCAGGCTTTTCAAAATTTCCGATCTCTAGTAGTGAACAACTATAATTTAAGATTTATTTTATTTTTTGAGTAATATCAGAACTTGAAATCAGAAAAGCAAAACAAAATTCGTTAAAAATTTAGAAAGATATTTTTAATATTAATTCAGAAATATTCATGCCAAAATATAATTACTATTAAAAACTAATTTCTGTCGCTTAATTTAAAAATGTTAATTAACTAAAATTAGCCAAAAATCCCATATTTTTAGCTTTTAAGTTTAAATAAATTAATTAAATAAATTCAAAATAATTACGAACCAATTCCTCAATAAAATTATTAGCCAAATTTAATTTCTGTAAAGGACTAGAACCTTCCAATCCTTCATAATAAGATCCAAAAGCCATTTTACCAATTTTTGAAATTAAATTAAAGGAAAGATCGAGTAATTGTAGAGAATTTAATTTATTTAATATTTCTGTTGGAATTGCTTCTAGAAAAATTGAAAATTTTTTTTAAATTTTTTAATATATTAAAAATTTATTTTTTAAAAAGAGAAAAAGTGTCCATCCAAGGTTGAACCTATAAACCTTACTATGTAAGTGTTTAAAGTTATTCAAAACCTTTAAAACCCAGCAAGTTCTGTATATCAAAAATAGGGTTGCTGTTTTAGAGTCAAGCCGACGTTCTAGTCATTCCTTTGGACCTATTTGTTATCGGACCGGACCGACCATGTCTTTTTAGAGTCAAAATTCGATGCCCGACTCGATCTTTCAAGACGGGCCGGGCCGGCACCCCTAATCAAATACTTCAACCAAGGAAATTAATTGAATTAATTGCGGTTGATCTGATATCCGAATTCTTGAATACCCCGAATAACCTTACTTTTTCGTGGTATTTTTATGTATCTTTTACTTTTCCACGCAAACTTCATTAAAGATATTTTTTAAATTTATTATTAAATTTACCAAATAAATTTCTAGATAAAATTAATTCATTCAATTTATTATTTTTATTAAATAAATAATTTCCTTCTCCATTATTATTATTTAAATAATTTCCATCAAAATTTAAATAAATTAAATTATTTAAATAATTTAAAGAATTTATAGGTATTTTTGTAAAATTATTTAAAGCCAAATTAATTTGTTTAATTGAATTATTTAAATAATTATTGTTAAATAAATTTAAAGGTAATTTATTTAATTTATTTGAATTTAAATCTAAACTGAAATATTAAGAAGAGAATTATTTTTTTAAATTAAAAATACCTTTCAATAAAAATTAATGAAGTAAATGAATTTTCTTCTATTGAAATGATCTGGAAAAAATTATTTTTTAAAGTTATATTTTGTTGATTTTAAGAGGTGAAGGATTAAGGATTTTAAATTTTTGCCAATTACATTAAATTAAAAAAATTTTTTAAAGGCTACAAACAAAATTCCGCAACATTTTATTTTTTCGTTCTTTTGAGGAATATCCTTCTGGGCCCGTAAAATAAGAACTCGGTCACCTGACGATGGTTACACATAAACTTAAAATAAAATTAAAAAAAAATTAAAGTTACCGGTTGATTTTAACCGCCGGTTGATGGTTAGGTAACCAGGTCACCTAACCACAAGGTCATGGTTAACCATACGATTGTCTTATTTTACCGGTCTTATTTTACCTGACTAGCAACCGAGTTCTTATTTTACGGACCCTGATCTTGGACAGTTTAGAAATTATTTGAAAAAATATAAAATCTTCAAAAGTTAATAGCAACTAGAGTTTCACCGGAAGTTCCGGTTCCGGTTCCGGTTCCGGAAAGTTCCGGTGTTTTTTGGTTCCGGTTCCGGTTCCGGGAACCGGAACTCAAATTGGTTCCGGTTCCGGTTCCGGCTCCGATTTACAAATCGGTTCCGGCCAAACCGGAACTTTTTTACACCCCTAAAGATTGATTTTTTTTAGAATATTAATAAACTACACGTACTCTCATACTTGTAGTAAAAAAATCGAAAGAAATATGTTTATTTTCTTTCAATTGCATTCTGATGAGCGAGTGTCCGAGTGGTTAAGGGTTTAGGCTTCACTCAAGGGGTCAGTGATTTTAAGTTGGGTTCGCTTCCCGGTCGTAGGACAATAACTCTTCAAATTTTTCTTTCAACAAATAACTCATTTTATGAGTTTAATTTTGTTTTAAAAATCATTATATTTTTACATGGAGTAATTACGGTTTTTTGGCCCTCTAATTTTTTTTTGGCACTCTTTTTTTGGCCCTCAGTTTTTTGGCCCTCTTTTTCAGCGCCTGCGGCGCTGAAAAAGGAAAAAATTTAGCTTCTTACCCTCAAATATTCTCAACATTTTCGCCTGCGGCGCTGAAAAAGATAGTTGAATGGTATAACGGATGATTTGGATGGATCAATGTGAATTTTGAATTATATAGTGTGATATCAAGGGGCCTAATATCCTTCTTTACTTCCTTATCCCCATAAAACGTATATCGCTCCTTCTTCCACTGATATCCCATAAACCCCCTTACAATTCTGAATCCTTATATCGTCCGATATCAAACCCTTATACCACCAAATCCATTCATACACCACTCTCTAACCCAAATATATCACTTATCGCCGACAAATTTTCGGTTTGGTTTTGGTTAATCAAAAGTCTCGGTTCGGTTCGGTTTCGGTTAACCGAAAAAGTTGGTGAAAAGTCAACTTTACTTAAACTACAAATTTTT